TCCAGAGAGGAAAGCCTGGACCACTGACTCAGCTGAGATGTTGATTAATGGGATTGCTTCCGGCCATCTGGAGAATCGATCGATGCAGGTGAGTAGATAAGAATATCCTCTTGCCGACGGTAATGGTCCAACGATGTCTACATGCACCACCTCGAAACGGTCAGAAGGTAACGGAAACTGTTGAAGAGGGCTCTTTGTGTGACGATGTGTTTTCGCTCGCTGGCACTGGAGACATGAGCGAGTCCATCGTCGAACATCGGCATTGATTCCTGGCCATACAACACGCTCCGTTAGTAGTTTCTGGGAAGCACGTACTCCTGGGTGTGCTAGGGAGTGAAATACTGAGAACGTTTTCCAGCGAAACTGGGCAGGAATGTAGGGCCTAAGTGCTCCCGTCCGTGAGGTGTCACAGATTATACTTCCGCCACCTTCCATGGGAATCTCGATGAACCGGAGAGCTGTGTCAGATGTTCGTAATCGCTGCAGATCAGGGTCTTCCCGTTGGGCCTTACTGATTACACAATAGTCCACCTGAGCTGGGTTTGTCACGACGTGGTTTATGGTGGGTCGAGACAGTGCATCGGCTATGACATTATTAGTTCCTTTGACATGACGGATATCCGAGGTAAATTGGGAAATAAATCCCAGGTGGTTGGCTACTCGAGGAGAGTGAGCATCACCCTTGGCCGCCAGCGCATAAGTGAGAGGTTTGTGGTCTGTGAGGATGTGGAAGTTCCGCCCCTCGAGAAAGTGCCGGAAATGTTGTATGGCTGAGTAGATGGCGAGCAGTTCCCTATCAAAAGTGCTGTACTTCTCTTCAGTGGGTGACAGGCGCGCTGAAAAGAATGCAATTGGGCGCCATTCTCCTTCAACGAGCTGTTGTAGTACAGCACCAATTGCTGTGTTTGAAGCGTCGGTAGAGAGATTGGTGGGAGCGTCAGACACTGGGTGTGCGAGTAAGGTGAATTCCGCCAGCTTGTTTTTTATGTCGGTGAATGCTGTCTCTGCCTGGGGAGTCCACTCCAACGGAAGACGGGACGTGAGTTTCCGACCATGTAAGAGGTCGTATAAGTGTCGCAAGATGTCCGAACAATGTGGGATGAATCGATGATAAAAATTCACTACACCAAGAAATTCTTGCAACTTCTTTGGAGTAGATGGGCGCGGGAATTCCTTGATTGCCTCGATTTTCTTCTCTAGTGGTTGGACCCCTGCTGCTGACACACGGTGTCCCAAGAAATCCAGCTCTGGAACATGGAAAATACACTTCTCGGAGTTGAGCTGCAAGCCGAAGTTGCGCAGACGGGTGAGAAGGAGTCGGAGGTGTAGCAGATGTTCTGTTGGTGATGTACTGGCCACCAGCAGATCGTCAATGTAGGCGTAGCAAAAAGGAAGGTCCTTAACTACTTGGTCGATGAAGCGTTGGAATGTCTGGGCTGCATTCCGTAGACCAAAAGGCATCCGGACGAATTCAAACAGTCCAAAAGGTGTTGTGATCGCTGTTTTCGGAATGTCTGCCGGTTCCACAGGGATCTGGTGAAATGCCCGCACAAGGTCAATTCTCGAAAAAACGGTTGCGTTGCTCAATCCCTGTGAGAAATCCTGGATGTGTGGTATTGGGTAGCGATCCGGCAGAGTACGAACGTTGAGAGCCCTGTAGTCTCCGCAAGGGCGCCATTCCCCTGGGGCTGTTTTCGGGACCATATGGAGAGGTGAAGCCCATGGACTGTTCGAAGGGCGGATTATTCCCGCCTCCTGTAGCTTATTGAATTCAGCACGTGCTACCGCCAGTCGTTCCGGTGCCAGGCGGCGTGGTCTGGCGAAGGTAGGTGCTCCCGTTGTAGTAATGTGATGCGTAATCGTATGTTGCACCTCTGGTCGAGGGCTGGCGGGTTGGGTCACATCTTTGAATTCATCCAGGAGTGCTTGAAGTTCCGTAGATGCGACTGGGGTGACGATGTTAACTTGTGGTGAGGTACTAGGAGAGGCTCGAAGTACTGCACCTGCGGGATCCACCATAAGTCGATGGTGTTGCAGGAAATCCCATCCAAGAATGGGTTGTTCCACATCCGCTATGAGGAAAGTCCACGTAAAGCGACCCAGAGAGGCGAACTCGAGAACCAGGGCGCGGGTCCCATATGTACGGACGGACGTACCATTGGCGGCTCGTAAGTCCAAACCAGGAGTACGGGTTGGTTTGACCAGTGGGGGAGGCAACACACTAGCTGCTGCACCTGTGTCAACGAGGAAACGGCGTTTGGTTATGACGTCAGATATGTAGAGCAGTGTAGTGTTTGAAATGGCGGGGTCACTGGCCGTTAACAGTCCCCGCCGAAGTAGTTTCCCGACCAGGAACAAGGAGCCCTACAGTTGCGGGCTTGGTGTCCGAACTTCTGGTGGTAAGAACAAAGCTCTCCACGACGTTCTCGCTGTCGCCTAGAGACTGATACTGGATTCGCATGGTACGTCTTCCCTGGGTGGAAAAAACGCCGGTTCTGGAGGACGTCGAGTTGTTGGGTGTCTGTAGTCTGCTGTGTATCACTGAGGTGGGACAGCGTAGCGTTATCAGACGTCGTATGAAGCCGGTCTGCCAGTGTAGCCAGCTGGGCTAATGGGGTGTCGTCAGCCATACTGAATAGGGCCGGTTGAATGTGTTTTGGACAGAGTTGTATCCACAGTGATCTCACAATCTCGCTGGGGGCTGGACCAGTTGCAGTATGCATCACATACTGAATATGCCGCAGAAGCTGGGCTGGTGTTTTGTCTACTAACCTTTTGTCAGTGAGGAGTTGGTCTCTTTGTTGAATGCGGCGTTTCATTGCTGCCTGTAGAAGAGCGGCCTTCAATGCAGTGTACGTCCTGGTGTCCGGTGATGACAGCGGAGGCAGTGTGCATAGCCTCCGAGGTAAGTGTTGGCAGGGTACAGGCATATCGGGCTTTCTCAGTCGAAATTTCGTGAAGGTCGAAAATAGCCTCCATCTGCATGAACCAAAATTCTGGCTCATCTGCGTTGTATGCTGGAAACTTGGTAGATAAATCCATGACGAAGATCTAGTTTGTGACTAGGTGTTCTTTTTCACTCACTGGGTCACCAATGTAACGGTTCTATTGTTACGTAAAGTATGGTGACAAATAAACACAGACACTAAGATACTATATATATATTTGGTCGAATATACAGAAGTACACAGGTGATACGTTGGTGTGAGTTGAGCGCACTGAGCGTTGGTACAGTATCTCGCAAGTGTCTGCTCTAGACCACACTTGAAAGTAGACTCTGGTTAATGTTTGCTATCCTGCTGCTTATATGCCCGGGCAACGCCTCACCTCATTCATCTCCAAAGGTTGACAGGAATATTAACACTATATTTGGAGCGAGTATATTATTGGGATAATCTACTCGCTACAATTTGATTAAGTTGGGTTATGGTGGATTAAGTTAGGTTTGCCTAGGTTAAGCTTGGATCGGGTAAGTTAGGTTAGCTTGGGATAGTTTTGGCCAGGCTAAGATGGGATAGGGAACAAGATGGGAGGGAGGAGTGACATCGTGACACCCGCCCACCGTATGGCTGTCTCTCTAGCACCTCCCAGCCCTTCACACCTCACCTTCCTTGCTCGCTCCCAGCTCCCACCACCACACTGGTTGACCATAGTCACAGCTCCCAGCAGCACACAGCTCCCAGCAGCACACAGCTCCCAGCAGCACACAGCTCCCAGCAGCACACAGCTCCCAGCAGCACACAGCTCCCAGCAGCACACAGCTCCCAGCAGCACACAGCTCCCAGCAGCACACAGCTCCCAGCAGCACACAGCTCCCAGCAGCACACACACTCACCATGGTACAGCAGGTTCACCATGTTGACGGAACAACAGTACCGTCAACATGGTAAACCGTCTTCCCAGTTTGGTGCCTTCTTTGATAATTTCTTTCTAGGGTGTCTCTGAGAACCCCACACTAAGTTGGGGGCTCCCAGAGAGACGCTAGGGTGTCTCTGGGAGCCTCACACTAGGGTGTGTCTGGGAGCCTCACACTAGGGTGTCTCTGGGAGCCTCACACTAGGGTGTGTCTGGGAGCCTCACACTAGGGTGTCTCTGGGAGCCTCACACTAGGGTGTGTCTGGGAGCCTCACACTAGGGTGTCTCTGGGAGCCTCACACTAGGGTGTGTCTGGGAGCCTCACACTAGGGTGTCTCTGGGAGCCTCACACTAGGGTGTGTCTGGGAGCCTCACACTAGGGTGTCTCTGGGAGCCTCACACTAGGGTGTGTCTGGGAGCCTCACACTAGGGTGTGTCTGGGAGCCTCACACTAGGGTGTGTCTGGGAGCCTCACACTAGGGTGTGTCTGGGAGCCTCACACTAGGGTGTGTCTCTGGGAGCCCCACACTAGGGTGTGTCTCTGGGAGCCCCACACTAGGGTGTCTCTCTGGGAGCCTCACACTAGGGTGTGTCTCTGGGAGCCTCACACTAGGGTGTGTCTCTGGGAGCCCCACACTAGGGTGTGTCTGGGAGCCTCACACTAGGGTGTGTCTCTGGGAGCCCCACACTAGGGTGTGTCTGGGAGCCTCACACTAGGGTGTGTCTCTGGGAGCCCCACACTAGGGTGTGTCTCTGGGAGCCCCACACTAGGGTGTGTCTCTGTAGCGTATATAATAAATACATCTAATATATAATATTATATATAGATATGTTAAACACAATATGTTAATTCTCATCATACTCCCCTGGTTCTATGATGCCGCTTCCCTTGAGAGCGAGGACGCTCTTAGCGCCACAGTTTAGGCAGTGATGTGGTGGAGGCAGACTTATACACTGTTGAAAATGTTGATATGATAGAGCCTAATAGGCTCAGGCATCTGTACACCAGTTGATTGACACTCGAGAGGCGGGACCAAAGAGCCGAAACTCAACCCCCGCAAGCACAACTTGGTGAGTACAGTTGCATGAGCTTCAGCCGCCATATTTGCGTATAATAATGTATGGTTGTGTCCGGCAGATGAAGGAGGCGGTGGTGGTGGTGGTGGCGGCGGTGATGGCGGCCGTGTTGAGCGCCGCGTCCGGCAGCAGCTCGGGCTACGGCCACTCCTTCATCTACTACAAGTAAGTTGTAATGCTTCTAGCATGTCGTGGTTAAGTGGTCTAGGGCGTGTGCTTGGGAGTACGCAGTGGACAGGTTCGAATCCTCCTCTTGGCTCCTACTGATTTTCTCATTATTATTATTATTATTATTTAAGTAATGGTAATGTCTTCTCGCAGACATAATAACATGGGATAAAAACCCACATTTGTGTGTTTGTGAAATTTATGTACAGAGTTCACACCAAGTCTTTCGCACTCTCCTGAGTGTTTTGTGAAGGTCTGAGTGTGTGGTCAGGACGAGAATTATATCTCACAGTCTAGTGAGGCTACTATCATTATTGTTTTAGATTCAGTTACTAAGAACAAAAATTCCAAGTAGCACGGGCTATGGTGAGCCCGTAGTGGACTTACCTGGCACAGGAGCGGGGCTGATTGATTGATGAAGATTAAGCCACCCAAAAGAGGAGCGGCCTGTAACTTGCGGCTACTATGCTGGGTCCATGATTGATTGATTGATTGATAAAGATTAAGCCACCAAAGACGTGGCACGGGCATGAATAGCCATAAGTGGTACAATTTTTTGTTCAGTAAATCTTTTCAGTGTTCTGAGGTCCCATTAATCGTCAAGCTGTTATCGCGGGGAGGATACTGCTTGACATTATTTATGAGGGTGTCCAGCTGCTAGACACCTTTGTTGACCAGGAGAGTGGCTGTGTTGATGGCTTCAGGGTGGCCACTGCATGATTCAGGAACTCTTAAAGCTCTTCTAAGGTCATTGGTTGCTTCACATTCCAGAAGATAGTGAAGTAATGGCTTTTCTGTGACAGTTTGGCAGAAGATGCACTCTCTCTGTCGGGGTTCACCAATCTCCCAGTTGCATCTGTAACCTAGACGTAGTCTATATAACCTAACTGCTATTTCCCTGTGGATTCCTTTTGGGATATTTAACCTTTCTAATTTGGTTGCCTGAAGATACCATGTTGCAGATGGCGAACCTTCAGCTACTCTCTGGTGCAGGTCGGCTTTGTTGAGATGTGAGAGTTTTTTGGTGATGATGTTTTTTATGTTCTCTAGGCTGGGTTGAATTGTTTTATGTATCACTGGATGACGAGTTGCCAATTTAGTAATTTCATCAGCTTTTTCATTTAATGGGATTCCAATATGGGGTGGGATCCAGTTTAAAGTTATGTTGAGGCCTTTGCCTTTAGCGACTGCTCAAAGATACAAAATGGTGGTAATTATTATCACGTTATCTTTCCACTGTTTTTGTGCTAATATTTGAAGTGCAGCTTTTGAGTCTGTGTGTATGATTGCATTTTAAGTGTTTTGTGCAATCACATATGCGAATGCCTGTTGTATGGCAAACAGCTCAGTTTGGGTTGATGATACTAGTCCTCCCAGTCTCCAATATGCCTGCACGCTGGTCGTGCAAAGAGCAGCGCCAACACTCTCATATTCTGTGTCCACCGATCCGTCTGTGAAGATGTGGGTGGCTCCTGCTACTGCTATGCTATACATTTGCTCTTCTATTATGCGCCTTAGGATTGTCGGATCATAGGCAGCCTTTTTCACTGGGAGACTTTCTATTACTATTTTGAAGGTAGACTCCTCCCACGGTAGGGAAGAAGTGTAGTTTGGGTGTGGATGATCTCCCTCTCTATCAAGAATTATGCTTTTTAAATGTAATCTGTTTAGGACATTTCCTGCTCTGGCAGCCCAAGAGTTTCCATTGTTTTGGCCAAGTCCAACCACCAAGGCCTGGGATTGGTGGTTGTTTATAAACTTTTTTCTATAGTAAACTTTATTAACTTTTTTTCTATAGTAAACTGTATAGTAAACTCAAGGCTATTAAGACCCCCTCTAGGTACCTATCTAGGTTCTCGAAATGATCGTCACTTACAGCGATAACATCATCACCATATCTCAAGCTCTGGGATCTTTCCCATCTATTATTACTGTGGGTGCAAATTGTGCTTAAAAAATCCATATATAAATTTGCAAGAATAGGGGATACGGGAAGAACCCACAGCCACCCCGAACTTGCGTTTATAAGCCAAACTTTCAAAAGTAAAATAAGTGTCTTCTTGATCCAGAAACGGTCAAGAGAATCCAAGCCTTTGGATCTACCCAGCAACCCAAAGCCACAACTTCGCGCCACAAACTACCCGTCCTTTAATTAAAAGCCAATAGAATACTCATCGGCAAGACCGAGTCTATGAAAATGAAAATCAGCAACAGTCTAAAGCTCCAATTCCTTTCAGTCAGAACAAGAAGGGGACCTCGAGCAACTGGAGGAAACAGAGCACTATATGTTACAGGTTACACTGTCATTTGTAACCTGTGATAATATCACGAGGCAACAACAACACACAGGTCAGGGCAACAACAACACACAGGTCAGGGCAACAACAACACACAGGTCAGGGCAACAACAACAACAACACACAGGTCAGGGCAACAACAACAACAACACACAGGTCAGGGCAACAACAACACACAGGTCAGGGCCAATACACCTGCTCTTGCCGCCACGATACCTCAGGTACGGATGACGAGCTCTACATCATCAAGTGGTCCAGTAGGTGGATGTAGCGGTGACACCACGACCCAACCCACAGTCTCCACCTCCCGGGAAACAAGAAAGGCAGCCAAAGGAGTATCAAGTGACTTCTGTTCCAGTGGTTATTGCCTCCCTAACCGAGACCTTCAGCATGATGCTCGGCGAAGTATTCCAAGCACTGGAACAGACCAGCTCTCAGTCAAGGAAGGAAATGTTTAGATTATTTTTTTTTTTTACCTCTTATGAACTTAGTCCTCCACTCTTTAAGAAGCTCTACCTGAAGACGTCGACGAAGTCGAAGTCGATGAAGGTGGCGAAACGGAATTGTTTCAGCACCCAGCGGCAGTCTCCACTCCGGCCAAGAAGACACAACACGTAAGGCAAATCAGCGCACTAGAAACCACTGAGGACTCAATGGATTCAACTCTAATAGAATAACAGACAATAACGACAAAATCAACATTATACAATGGAACATCCAGGGAGTCAAAAACCAAGCACAAACACTCAGAGCTGGGCTTATCAGGGACACCATTGATATTGTTTGACTTCAAGAAACACTCACTATCACTGAACGAAGTATCAGTATCCCAGGATATCAAGGTTTGCACTGCCCAAGTGCACAAGGCGGCACCAGAGGCACTTCAATGCTAGTAAGAAATCATATCAATGCCACGCCAGTCACAGACCTGCCTAACTGTGGTGAGGACACCACAGATGGAAACCATCTCAAGACCTACAACCACTCACATCTTCACAGACGGATCAGTTGATCAAGAAAGAGGTTCTGCTGGGGCAGCAGTTTACACTAATAACCATGAAGCTTACTGGAGCATGAATAGTGGGTGCTCAACATTGCAAACAAAGTTTTAGGCTCTGAAAAAAACCATAAATTATGCAATTGAGAACAATTTAAAAGATATAATCATTTATACCGACTCTTAAATCTTCGCTACAGGCATTGTTATCCAGTCAGCACAGATAATATACAACTCATCACTGAAGTCCTACATTTAGAAAACGAAGCACACAATCTAGGGCTGTCAGTCATTCTAAACTGGATACCAAGTCACATTGGCGTAGATGGTAATGAAAAGCCAGACTCACTAGCAAAACCTGCCACTGATCTACCTGTCGTACAGGTTAAAATACCTACAAGTTTTTCACAGATTAAGGAGCAAATCAAGAAAAAATAATCCCAAGTATCAAAGGTCGCCTCAGAGCCAAAGTAGCGGAAGGAAGATCCACTGCGATATAGTACGAACAAGCCACTGGGTGCTGGGTACTACTCTTTCAAGCCTGACAAAAAGATATCCAGAGATATCTTTCCGTTGGAGAGTATGGCTGGGTATGGCTACATTGCAGTAGCCATACACAGACTCAGACTTGGTTACAAGTGCTGCTGGGAGGTAATAAACCCAATAGTTAAAGAGTGTCATATCTGTGGAACAGAAGCAGAGGCGCCACTATTGCACTACTTACTGGAATGTGAAGCTACTGAAGCCCTGCACATCAAACTCAACATTAATCCAACGACAGCAGCTGCATTAAATGAAAAATCCACAGCGACTACAAGGATTAAAAAAAAGCAGTTGAAGAAAGGGACACACTAGTGAACACTTTGCATCTATATCTTCTGTCGGAAAATCCGACACCATTTAATAATATTACATGCAATTGCAGATAATATTGTTGCATTGTATAAACAAGTTACCCATAGAAAATGTAGCTTGTAGTGGAATTTTCCGTCTATAGAAAACGGGATATCATTGCCACATACTATTATAAATTCACCACCTATTATGGTGGGAATTATTCTTAAATACATTAGTCTTTGGACTTTACCATCATAAAACATCTCAATTGAATTAATTTAATTATCAGTATTAAAATGTGTAAAGTAAATGTGACCCTTCTATCACTTTCTGATATCTGGACAATATAGGCCAGTGGCGTCAGTGAGGAGGGATTGGTCAGCCATTGTTGTTGAGACCTGAGGCGCACGGGAGTAAACGGCTCTTGTTAATTTCTCTTGGACGAAGTGTTATGGAAACCAAAGGTCTTCCATCATCAACACGCTGTCAACAAATACAAGGAAAGTGTTCTACCGAAACCCATTTATCTAATCATTTTTGGCCATTAATGTCAGTAGATAGAGCGAACCGGTTAGAATGCGAACAGCCTCTTAATAAAAGGTAATTAAGCCTTGGTCATTATCTGATTCATTGTACAGTGTTTTCTCTGATGAAGCTGTCATATATTAGGATTCTGGCTTTACAGCTAGTGCCTTTGACAGGTCAAGAAGAGGAAGCAAGCTTTGTGCGTCAGTTACTGGGTGACGGAAGCTACCTCACACGAGGATAATTTGGTGTCTACATCCTAGTTATATCTGGTGGACTAAGCCTGTTGTATAATATAAGGAACCTCCTCAATGTATACTAATATATGTAGTTTAATACTGTAGTTTGATTGGCTGCATATATATAAATTCAATATAAACCCCCCCCCCTAATGTGTAAGGATCAATTTGTGAGATTATTGCAGAAATACAGTCCACTTATCATACAAATTGCTATCGAAAAATATAAATTAACGTAAATATAAATTCTATATAAATTCATATAAATTAAATAAATATAAATCTCACAAGTCGGTTCCCACATCTGCGACCAAGATAACGTTATTTAAACAAAAGACTAAACCCAGTGCGAAATATAGGAAACTCTACGTTCATTTAAAACTTTGACCCCAATATCAAAGTAACTAAGGTTATCGCCAATAATCAAACTCAATTACGGGCTCACCATAGCCCGTGCTACATGGACATTTCATTCCGAGTGGCTGAAACAACAACAACAACAACAACAGGATAGCCGCCAGTCACAGCCTCGCTCCTGTGCCAGGTAAGTCCACTACGGGCTCACTCTATCCCGTGCTACTTGGAACTTTTTGTTCCACAGTAGCTGAATCTAAAATAACAGCAACAACGACGATAGCAGCCTCATTAGATGTTGAGATGAGTTACGAGAAGTCTCGTCCTAATCACACACTCAGAAGAAGATGTTATTATTATTATTACTATTATCAGTCATAATTAATATTAAAATTATCACGTGTATCATTCATGTTATGAATGTCATAAATATATATATATATATATATATATATATATATATATATATATATATATATATATATATATATATATATATATATATATATATCTGGTGACTGTGCAAAAGTTTTTGCACCGTGACTGCAGAAGTCATTGTTAGCCGAGGCTATATCCCCAACGACCCGACAGCACTTGGTGGTAAGGTTGGAAATAGACATTTCATCAAATCACCTCACTTGGGGTCACGTGGGCAACACAAATGCGAACAAGCTTCAATGGTCCCCAAGCCAATATGCAACTGAAAACACCACGCCCAGAAGGATTCGAACCCAGAGAGCCAAGAGCACAGCCAAGGTGCATAGTGCTGCAGTTCAAATCAGTGGGATGCTCTTGCAGCCCCAACATCCATCATAGATCCAACAAAAAAGCACGAAGAGTCCAGCTGGGATCACCCACTAGTGGAAAAAATAGCTGATGCCATGCTCAGCGCCGCAACATTAGGCAAGGAGAAAACCCGCCTCTGAGCAGTGCGTGCCCCCCATGCAGGAGACTTCCTTCTGGCAGTACCCATGTCGACAACAGGCACGAGTTTACATCCAGAATCCTTTCGTGTAGCAGTGGCCCTCCGCCTTGGTGCCCCAATTTACACTGAATACAAGTGTATTTGCAACAGAGTGGAAGCAGGCCAATATGGACTGCATGGGTTGCACTGCGGAAGCACAAAGGGCTGGCATGCAAGACACAACAAGGTTAATAATATCACTGAGCCTTGCCTCAGCTCAGTGCCCAGAAGAGAGAGAACCTCGCATCCTAGGGGACCAAAACCCCTAGGATGGAACAAAACGGATGACTCCACACATCGCCTAGATGGCATCACAATGTACTCCTGGAAAATGGGCAGGGAGCTGGTGTGGGACTACATATGTGTATCCACCCTGGCTGACACATACATACACTTCGGTGCTGATCAAGCAGGTTGAGATGTCACAAGATGAACAAGCCACTAGATGTGGCTTGTTCCTTAGCCAACCCCAGGGAAACAGAAAAATCAATCACGTACAGGCGACCGGATTGTCAATACACCTTTGTTCCCATAGCGTCTGAGACGCATGGCCCCTGGGGAAGGAGCTCCTTGGGATTTCTCAAAGAATTGGGCTCCAGGCTCATTGACAGCACCAGAGACCCAAGGGCGGCCAGTTTCTTATTCCAGCGCCTCAGTGTGGCGACCCAGAGGGGAAACGACTGCTGCGTTCTCGGTTCTTGTCCGGAAGCGGAGGAGCTCCAACAGATCCATAACCTTCAAACACTCATTGTATTAACTAAGGTACATCTTGTAACCTTTAAATATCCAATAAAGCACAAAAGACAAAAGGAAGGGGGTGGTAGAAGAATAGCTCACAGAAACTGTATTGGAGGGGACCTAAACATTCCCTCTACTGTGTAATGTGTGATTTCCTCCAAGGCTAAGGGTTCTCTTCATCCAGCCAGAGGTGGTACTCCCTTCTATATAAATTATAAAATAATTTTATAGATATCAAATAACTATAAAAAGGGAATATCTGTCGCACTTTTTGCTTCTCCGAAGTTGGAAGCTTTGGACTAGACTCATTAAACTCTGCATGACTGATAGTGATTGTATGGGCAGTGTTATGGGGGGGAAGTCACGGTCGGCCCCCCATGCCTCCCTCGGAGGGGCAGTGAACCCATGTATCCCCATATACCCCCATGCACGAAGACGCTAGATATGAAATGTGCCGCTCAAAGTCCGTAGAGTTTAGCATTATCTTAAATACTAGTGAATTCAGATACTGACTTGTAAATTGTATGTTTAAAGGACGTTTGCATTCTGGCTGTATCTTTTTGGTTACAGGGTTTATGGATAATGGTCACAGTGTGGAGGAGAGACAGAGAAGGCATGTGGGAGGATGACAAGGAGGGGTGTGTGTGTGTGTGGGAGATGGGGAAGTACCTGGTTGATACCTGCTTAATGGGGTTCTGGGAGTTCTTCTACACCCCAAGCCCGCCCCGAGGCCAGGCTTGACTTGTGAGAGTTTGGTCCACCAGGCTGTTGCTTGGAGCGGCCCGCAGGCCCACATACCCACCACAGCCCGGTTGGTCCGGCACTCCTTGAAGGAAACAATCTAGTTTTCTCTTGAAAATGTCCACGGTTGTTCCGGTAATATTTCTTATGCTTGCTGGGAGGACGTTGAACAGCCGCGGACCTCTGATGTTTATACAGTGTTCTCTGATTGTGCCTATGGCACCTCTGCTCTTCACTGGTTCTATTCTGCATTTTCTTCCATATCGTTCACTCCAGTACGTTGTTATTTTACTGTGTAGATTTGGTACTTGGCCCTCCAGTATCTTCCACGTGTATATTATTTGGTATCTCTCTCGTCTCCTTTCTAGAGAGTACATTTGGAGGGCTTTGAGACGATCCCAATAATTTAGGTGCTTAATCTCGTCTATGCGTGCCGTATATGTTCTCTGTATTCCCTCTATTTCAGTAATCTCTCCTGCTCTGAAGGGGGAAGTGAGTACTGAGCAGTACTCGAGACGGGACAACACAAGTGACTTGAAGAGTACAACCATTGTGTGTTGGGGAGATGGAGAGGGTGTGGGGGGGGGGGAGACAGGCAAGGTGTGTGTGTGAAGAGAGACAGGGAGGGTATGTGTTGGAGAAGATGTGGAAGAAGTGTGAGGAAGACCTTAGTACCGGGCACCGCCGGGTACCCCCACCAAGTTTACTGTGTTTGTCTTATGTATTGTGTATAAAATTAATGTCTCAATCCTCAAGGTATTTGTTGACGTTGTCTTTAAATGTGTTAACTTAAGGCAGAATAAATAACATTTCAACATTAAATGAAATACTTAATTTTGAAATATTCGGATAAAATTATTATATTATTAGATTTTATATAATTTATATAGCTGCATAAATAACGTTAGTATAGTTGCAAATAGCATCCGTTTAGCAATAGGTTTCATCCTCGGATGAAAGTAACATGAGCTTTCTCTTGCAGTCCGCCGGCAGACGGCGCCCCGCCACCAGACATCCAGCTGATGATGCATCAGGCCCACAACACTGGACTCCAGACCCACGCTGCTGGACAGGTCTTGACCGTGATCAGGCAGGACAAGACCCCTCGCCACGATCCTGCACCTCTTTCACCTGACCTCAGCACCTATGAGGGTGACTTCTCTCGTGCTAAAGGCTCGGTTGCTGAATTTCCAGATACCCTGGACTCTTCTGGTGACCTATCTGATACCCAGGACTCTACCGGTTATCTTCCAGAAATAAAAGTTTCTGCTAGTAATCTAGAAACCCAGACATCTTTTCGAGATCTAAAAGACATTCATACTTCTGCTGGTTATCAAGCAGACCAGACTTTTAACGGTGATCTTCAAGACAGTCAAACTTTTCTTGATGGCTTTTTAGCCAACCAACCGTCTTCTTTTCGTAATTTTCCAGGCGTCTACCCAGCTGAATTTCCAGATACAGAGGCATCTGTTGGGACGCTTCCAGTAATCCAGACATATGCTGGTGATCTTCGAGATATCCAGACTTCAGCCGATAATCTTCCAGAGGCTCTGAACTCAACTGAAGATCTTCCAGACTCCCAGACCACTGTTGCTGGACGTCCAGATACTCAAACGTCTGATGGTGAACCTAAAAAGCTCCAAACAGCTTCCGTTGATATTCCAGACACCTATAACTCTGTTGATTACCGTATAGACACGCAGACCTCTGCTGGTGATATACACTCACAGACCACTGTTACTGACCTTCCAGACATAGAAACTACTGTTGGTCTTCAAGATATTCAGGTGTACACGAATGAACATCCAGAAGCCCATAACTCTGCTGGTGACCAACCAGACCCCCAGTATACTATTACTTATCTTCCAAGCTCCCAGACCTCTGTTGATGGTTTTCGAGACTCTCAGGTTGTTGAAGTTGACTTTACTAATACCCAAAACCCTTCTGGGGATCAACCAAATTCTCTGGCAGATGTTGATGAATTTCCAAAAACCTACCTTTCTGACGGTGATTTTCCAAAAGCCCATATTTCTAATAGTGGTGTTCCCAAAACACAGCCCTTGAAAGGTGATGTTATGAAAATGGAAGCCTCTACGGGTGATCATGCAAGCACCCGGACCTACACGGGGGAACTTCAGGATAACAAATCTGCTGGTGACCTTACACACACCCACACCTCTTTTGTTTTTCCCGAATCACAGTCTTTTGTTGATGTTCTTCCAGACTTACAGACCTCTGATGGTGACCTTCCAGACGCCCAGACTTCTGATGGTGACCTTTTAGACGTCCAGACCTCTGAGGGTCACCTTCCAGACGCCCAGATCTCTGGTCAGTTGATAAACGGTGACCTGAGCACCGGGAGTTTTGGTAATCACTCATATTTTCAAATATTAACGAAAGATTCAGTGATACACAATGATCACCCGAGCGTCCATACTTCCTCAGATGAGCTGAAGGACGGTCCTAATGTGCATATTCTTTCAACAGAGCACAATTTAGAGCTTCCTGCAACATTTAGGGAAGATCTGGTTGATGAGAGAATCTTGCACACGATTCTTTTATCGCCGACAACGCCCAGAGAAGCAAATGATATCACGCCAGCACAACCCGAAGAAAACATCATGGTGCGATTTGAAGACGACAAGAAAACAGAGAAGAAAACGAAGACGAAACTGAGGAATGAGTCTGTGGATCATTTGGAAAACACGCTGTACTTTGCTCTTGACCTTGACGAGAAGAAAGAGGACACGCAAGAGGCTCCACTGGGGAGATCGGTGGAATCCAGGGCCCAGTCCTTGGCGGATTACCCGGTCGAGCACAGAGGCGGCCATACCAATGACCTCTACCAATACCACTTCCAGGATCACAAGACAGGTAAGATTGTTGTGTCAATTCCAGGGCAGCCATGCAGATGAGTGTGTTCCAGTTGTGCCTCCAGGACTTCCATGTGGATGAATGTGTTCTAGTACTGCTTCCAGAACCAACATATGAGTGAATGTGTTTAAGCACTAGATTGCGTTCTACGTACAGGACCATCATACGTGTGTGTTTTAAGTACTGCTTCTAGGACCAGTAAGTGTGATCTACGTCTGGACCACAGGATGGGAGAACGTTATCCAGTACCATATAATAATAATAATTATTATAATTATTATTAAGTCTAAGCTTTCAACTGATAGTGCTTAGCAGCACCAATGCCAGGGACACTAGCCAGATAAATTAACACCGTTGCGCAGTTTTTCATTATTGAAAAACAATTTGTTGTGGGATGACAGATACGACTTTATTCCTGGTCAGCCGTGTTGATCGCTAGGATTGGTTAGCCTTACGGTAGATTACTTATACGTTAAAATGAGTAGGCGAGAATATACATGATGGGTGTGTGTCTGTGGTTAAGGTGTTTAGGGACCTGGAAAGGGGAGATGTATCTTGTGTGAGGACAGAGTTTGTTCTGGTTCTCATGAATGGATTTTTTCAGGTAATCAATTCCCATTATCGGGGAGTGGAAGCCAGTGCTTAAGCTTGTATCCAGGTTTTCCATTAACCCTATCACCCCCCCCCCTCAAGGTCAAACTACTGACCTTCCCCAGGATGCAACCCCCACAACAGTTACCTAACTCCCGGGTACTTAAACAGTTTATGAGTTCCAAAACATTATGAGAGGTTGTTTAAACCGTTATTAATAAGCTTGGGCTGTGAAGATTCGACACACTTAAACTGTTTTGTAAACGTAAACATGGCCGCCATGATTTAGAATAGATGTTAAGGTTCCGAAAGAGGCTGGATTAATGGATCGGTCTTGATGAATCCTGGCCCAATGCCCCTTGCGGTCCGTCCCGCTGCGCTGCACTTACTGCCATTCATATCCTGGTTGAATGTCCAGATTGGCAGGACAATCGCCATTTTTCCTCAACCACACTGGCAGGATTTCCGCCCCATTAAGGTTACTGAGAAGCCTGGTGTGGCCGACTCCTGACCTAACCAAGGACGTTCCTCATCCATCTTGAGGTTATCTTGAGATGATTTCGGGGCTTTAGTGTCCCCGCGGCCCGGTCCTCGACCAGGCCTCCACCCCCAGGTTGCAGCCCGTGACAGCTGACTAACACCAAGGTACCTATTTTACTGCTAGGTAACAGGGGCATAGGGCGAAAGAAACTCTGCCCATTGTTTCTCGCCGGCGCCCGGGATCGAACCCGGGACCAAAGGATCACAAGTCCAGCGTGCTGTCCGCTCGGCCGACCGGCTCATTATCACGGACACTGTAGGACGGTCACTCATTACAACCCTGGGTACTGGAGGACGGTCACTCATTACAACCATAGATACTGGAGGACGGTCACTCATTACAACCCTGGGTACTGGAGGACGGTCACTCATTACAACCATAGATACTGGAGGACGGTCACTCATTACAACCCTGGGTACTGGAGGACGGTCACTCATTACAACCATAGATACTGGAGGACGGTCACTCATTACAACCCTGGGTACTGGAGGACGGTCACTCATTACAACCATAGATACTGGAGGACGGTCACTCATTACAACCCTGGGTACTGGAGGACGGTCACTCATTACAACCATAGATACTGGAGGACGGTCACTCATTACAACCCTGGGTACTGGAGGACGGTCACTCATTACAACCATAGATACTGGAGGACGGTCACGTGAACAGATCACAGTTGATGGACGGCATGTTTCAGTGGAAGTTGGCCGCCATCTTGCTTTCCTCAGCTTGGGAACAAGAACGCGAATGACCGAGTAGAAACCCGGGAAGGGGAATGGGTTTTAGGGGAGTGGCTTCTGGGGATGGTTTTCTAGGAATGGGTTTCCTGAGCGATGGCGTCTCCAAGGTCACTAGAGGCAACACCAATGATTGTCATACATGCCAAATATGACACACAACCAATGTTGAGACGCCATCACCCGGGAATGAGAAGGGGCGAGAGATCCCAGCACAATGAAGGCACTCTTGCAGTCTCAACAATAACAAATGATCCCTTACTCATAAAGAATAACTCTCAGAACTCACAAAAAAGGAACTCTCAGAGGTCATAAAAAAGTAGCTTTCAGAACTCATAAAATTGCATATTTTCCACAATAAAAATACTTAAAAATACCACAATAAAACTACGACCCGTGTACAAAGGTGGAACAGAGCGGGAAGGCTGAGGACAGGGGGAGAGTCAGCTGCCTTACCCGCAGCTGACAAATAAAATTTAGTATAACAAGTTATTACGTAGATACTTAATAAGTAAATATTAAATGCTTATCATTTAAGCTAATTGAAGCCAATCATTTCTATCTCCGTCGCTCCCGCATCTTCGCTGCATTATGTATGTGCCTCTGGCATTACGTTGGGTTTGCAACCAAACGCAACCTAGCTTAACCTAACCTAACCTAGCCTAACCTAGCCTAGTCTAGCCTAGCCTAACCTAACCTAACCTAACCTAGCCTAGCCTAGCCTTACCCAACCTAGCCTAACCTAACCTTACCCAACCTAGCCTAACCTAACCCAACCTGACCCAACCTAGCCTAACCTAACCTAACCCAACTTAGCCTAACCTAACCCAACCTATCCTCACCTAACCCAACCAAACGCAACGCAACCTAACCTGACGCAACCCAAGCCAACCCAACCCAAGCCAACCCAGCCCAAGCCAACCCAATTTAACCTAACCTAACCTAAGCCGGGGCCCTGACAGCTGAGTGGTCAACGCTTTGGGTTCGTAGTTGTAAGTGTCCGGGTTTGATCCCTGGTGGAGGCGGAAACAAATGGGCAGAGTTTCTTTCACTCTGATGCACCTGTTCACCTAGCAGTAAATAGGTACCTGGGAGTTAGACAGCTGCTACGGGCTGCTTCCTGGGGGGGTGTAACAAAAAGGAGGCCTGGTCGAGGTCGAGGACCGGGCCGCGTGGACGCTAAGCACCGAAATCATCTGAAGATAACCTCTTAAGATAACCTAACCTATCCTAACCTGACCTGACCAAACCGAACCTAACTAAAATATAAGAGATAAAATGCTGTGTTTTATATATGGTGTGAACGAGATGTGTGACGTTTTGACGTTACAATCTTCACGCTGTTACTGGCTTTAGATTCATTCGTGTTGAAGTGACGTCACTTAGGAAGTTACCTGCTGGTACAAACCTCCTGCCCAGCCTGACGGCGTCTCCCCCTCTCCCCTGCAGGCTCCTACAGGTTCGGCCACAGCGACGACAACCAGTGGCGCCACGAGGAGCGACGCCCCGACGGCGTGGTCATCGGACGCTACGGCTGGCACGACGCCGTGGGCAAGCATCACGTGACCCACTACGTGGCAGACGCCGGGGGCTACCGCATCGTGCGTCCTGGCCAGAAGGTGATGGAGGGGCAGGCTCTTGTGGTGTTATGCTTACTCTCGCTCTCAGCACTCTTTACTCCTACTGTTCAACCACTTGGACTGGACGGTAGAGCTTCACGCAGGTCGGCGTTCAATCCCCGACCGTCCAAGTGGTTGGGCACCATTCCTTCCCCTGTACCATCCCAAATCATTATCCTAACTCCTTCCAAGTGCTGTATAGTCGTAATAACGTTGAGCTTTCCTCTGATAATGCCTTCCTTCTCTATCTCGTTAACCTTTCCTTCCTTTGTCTTTTGTGTCTTCTCGTTGTGAATGATTGTTCTGATCATGTTTTGATGTGGTGTTGTTATCTTTTTCCTAATTATAAGATTTTTCCCCCTTTTTTGTATCCTCTCTTGCCTCTAACATCATTTAGGGGGGATAGATGAAGTTGTTCTTGTGTGTGGTTTTCATGGTGTGGTGTTTGTTCTCTTTACAGATAAACCTATACCCGGCTCCAGCCTCAACCAGCTCCGCTGTGGCCAAGAGTGCTGCTGCGCCCACACCCCCGCCGCCCACACCCCCGCCGCCCACAACCCCGCCGCCCACAACCCCGCCGCCCACACCCCCACCGCCCACAACATTCACACCCCCACCGCCCACACCATTCACACCCCCACCGCCCACACCATTCACACCCCCGTCGCCCACACCATTCACACCCCCGCCGCCCACACCACGGCCGCCCTTCACCGCCCGTCCGCCACCCACTCTACCCTCACTGCTCAATAGAGTGCGTCCTAAACTCTCACTGTACGACAGTGTGGGTCCTCCACTCACTCTATCAGATATTGTACGTTCTCCAATCACTCAGTCTGATAGTGTGCGTCCTCCAATCACACTGTTCGACAATGTCCGTCCTCCAATTACTCTCTCCAACAGTGTACGTCCTCCAATCACTCTCTCCAACAGTGTGCGTTCTCCAATCACTCTCTCCAACAGTGTGCGTTCTCCAATCACTCTCTCCAACAGTGTACGTCCTCCAATCACTCTCTCCAACAGTGTACGTCCTCCAATCACTCTCTCCAACAGTGTGCGTTCTCCAATCTCTCTCTCCAACAGTGTACGTCCTCCAATCACTCTCGCCGACAGTGAGCGTCCTCCAATCACTCAGCCCGACAGTGTACGTCCTCCAATCACTCAGTCCGACAGTGAGCGTCCTCCAATCACTCAGCCCGACAGTGTACGTCCTCCAATCACTCAGCCCGACAGTGAGCGTCCTCCAATCACTCAGTCCGACAGTGAGCGTCCTCCAATCACTCAGTCCGACAGTGAGCGTCCTCCAATCACTCAGTCCGACAGTGTGCGTCCAATCACTCTATCCGACAGTGTGCGTCCAATCACCCTGTCCGACAGTGTACGCCCAATCATTCCGTCCGACAGTGTGCGTCCAATCACACTATCCGACAGTGTGCGTCCAATCACACTATCCGACAGTGTGCGTCCAATCACACTATCCGACAGTGTGCGTCCAATCACACTATCCGACAGTGTGCGTCCAATCACACTATCCGACAGTGTGCGTCCAATCACACTATCCGACAGTGTGCGTCCAATCACACTATCCGACAGTGTGCGTCCAATCACACTATCCGACAGTATGCGTCCAATCACTCCGTCCGACAGTATGCGTCCAATCACACTATCCGACAGTATGCGTCCAATCACTCCGCCCGACAGTGTACGTCCAATCACTCCGCCCGACAGTGTACGTCCAATCACTCCGCCCGACAGTGTGCGTCCAATCACTCCGCCCGACAGTGTGCGTCCAATCACTCCGCCCGACAGTGTGCGTCCAATCACTCCGCCCGACAGTGTGCGTCCAATCACTCTATCCGACAGTGTGCGTCCAATCACTCTATCCGACAGTGTGCGCCCAATCACTCTATCCGACAGTGTGCGCCCAATCACCCTGTCCGACAGTGTGCGCCCAATCACCCTGTCCGACAGTGTGCGCCCAATCACCCTGTCCGACAGTGTGCGCCCAATCACCCTGTCCGACAGTGTGCGCCCAATCACCCTGTCCGACAGTGTGCGCCCAATCACCCTGTCCGACAGTGTGCGCCCAATCACCCTGTCCGACAGTGTGCGCCCAATCACCCTGTCCGACAGTGTGCGCCCAATCACCCTGTCCGACAGTGTGCGCCCAATCACCCTGTCCGACAGTGTGCGCCCAATCACCCTGTCCGACAGTGTACGCCCAATCACCCTGTCCGACAGTGTACGTCCAATCACCCTGTCCGACAGTGTACGTCCAGTCACCCTGTCCGACAGTGTACGTCCAATCACCCTGTCCGACAGTGTACGTCCAATCACCCTGTCCGACAGTGTACGTCCAATCACCCTGTCCGACAGTGTACGTCCAATCACCCTGTCCGACAGTGTACGTCCAATTACCCTGTCCGACAGTGTACGTCCAATTACCCTGTCCGACAGTGTACGTCCAATCACCCTGTCCGACAGTGTACGTCCAATCACCCTGTCCGACAGTGTACGTCCAATTACCCTGTCCGACAGTGTACGTCCAATCACCCTGTCCGACAGTGTACGTCCAATCACCCTGTCCGACAGTGTACGTCCAATCACTTCACCCACACCCTCAGCCACCCAGCCAGCGCCCTCACCCTCAGCCACCCCGCCCACGCCCACACCCTCAGCCTCCCCGCCCGCGCCCACACCCTCAGTCACCCCGCCCGCGCCCACACCCTCAGTCACCCCGCCCGCGCCCACACCCTCAGTCACCCCGCCCGCGCCCACACCCTCAGTCACCCCGCCCGCGCCCACACCCTCAGCCACCCAGCCAGCGCCCTCAGCCACCCCGCCCGCGCCCACACCCTCAGTCACCCCGCCCGCGCCCACACCCTCAGTCACCCCGCCCGCGCCCACACCCTCAGTCACCCCGCCCACGCCCACACCCTCAGCCACCCAGCCAGCGCCCTCAGCCACCCCGCCCGCGCCCACACCCTCAGGAGGTGCGCCGCCCCTGACACTACCGTCGGGTCTGTACCCTGTGACAGGCGGGACGGTGACGCCTGCAGCGCCGCCCTCAGTAGTCACAGGCCGCCCACCCATCGCCTACCCTCTCCCACAGCCATCCCTCATCAGCCGGCCCACCCCGTGGGTCCTGCCCACGGCCACCTCCTACACGCCCCCACAATGGGTCCGCCCACGCCCGTACAGACCATACAGGCTCCAGTATAATAGACCCATACCCAGCCCTTTCCGCCCAGTCAACCAGCCACGCCCACAGCCGGCCCGCCCACCCAAGCCCCTAAAGCCCTTGTTGTCCTACATCGGGCTGCCCAGGCCTAAACCTGGCGCCCAGGGCGACGCAGGGGGCAGCCCGACCTCTCACACCTCCCCTGGCCTCAATGACATTGACAACTTGAGAGACACTTTATTACAGAACATAAACAAGAAAGTGGTGGCAGACAAGGCGGCCAAGAGACCGTCGCCGTCGACCACCACCGGAGGGAAGCCCTTCCATCCTGGCGACTGGACCAGTACACCTCAGGAGGCGGCTGAGCGCCCCCAGGACGCTGCCGCCGCTGACCAACAACCTACAGTCGCACTGGAATCACCAGGTAACCATGGTTCAGAGTCTGAACAATCAGAGTTCATGGATAACTTAATTTCTCAGCTGCAGAGCGCGTACGACTTGACCCACGACCTGAGCGGCGACCAGTGGCCGGGAGGCCCAGCACCCAGCACTGCCCTCAGCCCCCCGCCGCCGCCCCCGCTGGGGCATAGACCTACCCGCCCTCAGGACACACTGCCTCTCCTGTCATGGGCAAGCAACCTCATGCAACCATTAGACCCAGGGCTGCAATCCTCCCACCAACCCACAGCCGCCCACACCCACCTCAGTCACCCACCCAAACAATACTCCCTGGATTACTCCTTCATGGATGAGGATTACAGTTCGCTGGGTACAGCTCCAAACATGAATCTACGAATCCAGCAGACACTGCAGCACATTGTTGACGATTTGAACGATCAAGCGGTCAGTAGATACGAGAGTGACCTCCCAAGTCATGACGAACTGCCTGGTGGTGCAGCTGTCGAGGGTGACGACGGTTCCCAGAACACGGGGACAACTGCGGGCGTCCACCATCACGCCCCCCACGCCCACAGCGGGTCCCCGCCGGCAGGACAACACGCCCACAGCGGGTCCCCGCCGGCAGGACAACACGCCCACAGCGGGTCCCCGCCGGCAGGACAACACGCCCACAGCGGGTCCCCGCCGGCAGGACAACACGCCCACAGCGGGTCCCCGCCGGCAGGACAACACGCCCACAGCGGGTCCCCGCCGGCAGGACAACACGCCCACAGCGGGTCCCCGACGGCAGGACAACACGCCCACAGCGGGTCCCCGACGGCAGGACAACACGCACCAACACTCCAGGCGAACATTGTAGTCCAGGACCAAATGATGGGTGAGAGTACTTATGAGAGCCCAGGTAGTGACCAGAGTACAGAGAGTAACCAGAACCCAGGTAGTGACCAGAGTACAGACATTGTCCAGAGAACAGACAGTGTCCAGAGTACAGACAGTGTCCAGAGTACAGACAGTGTCCAGAGTACAGACAGTGTCCAGAGTACAGACAGTGTCCAGAGTACAGACAGTGTCCAGAGTACAGACAGTGTCCAGAGTACAGACAGTGTCCAGAGTACAGACAGTGTCCAGAGTACAGACAGTGTCCAGAGTACAGACAGTGTCCAGAGTACAGACAGTGTCCAGAGTACAGACAGTGTCCAGAGTACAGACAGTGTCCAGAGTACAGACAGTGACCAGAGTATACGCAGTGACCAGAGCCCAGACAGTGGCCAGAGCCCAAACAGTGGCCAGAGCCCAGACAGTGGCCAGAGCCCAGACAGTGTCCAGAGCCCAGACAGTGACCAGAGCCTAGACAGTGACCAGAGCCTAGACAGTGGCCAGAGCCCAGACAGTGGCCAGAGCCCAGACAGTGGCCAGAGCCCAGACAGTGGCCAGAGCCCAGACAGTGGCCAGAGCCCAGACAGTGGCCAGAGCCCAGACAGTGTCCAGAGCCCAGACAGTGGCCAGAGCCCAGACAGTGTCCAGAGCCCAGACATTGTCCAGAGACCAAACAGTGACCAGAGACCAAACAGTGGCCAGAGCCCAGACAGTGGCCAGAGCCCAGACAGTGTCCAGAGCCCAGACAGTGTCCAGAGCCCAGACAGTGTCCAGAGCCCAAACAGTGACCAGAGACCAAACAGTGACCAGAGCCCAGACAGTGGCCAGAGCCCAGACAGTGGCCAGAGCCCAGACAGTGGCCAGAGCCCAGACAGTGGCCAGAGCCCAGACAGTGGCCAGAGCCCAGACAGTGTCCAGAGCCCAGACAGTGGCCAGAGACCAGACAGTGTCCAGAGCCCAGACAGTGTCCAGAGCCCAGACATTGTCCAGAGACCAAACAGTGACCAGAGACCAAACAGTGGCCAGAGCCCAGACAGTGACCAGAGCCCAGACAGTGACCAGAGCCCAGACAGTGACCAGAGCCCAGACAGTGGCCAGAGCCCAGACAGTGTCCAGAGCCCAGACAGTGTCCAGAGCCCAGACAGTGTCCAGAGCCCAGACATTGTCCAGAGACCAAACAGTGACCAGAGACCAAACAGTGGCCAGAGTCCAGACAGTGACCAGAGCCCAGGTCCTGCAGGGGACGTCCTCTCCACACCCACGGAGCCTCCCCCAGGTTCCTTCTGGCCGTACTCGCCCCACCAGCCCTCCACACACCCAGACGCGCCCTCGACCTCCCTGCCGCCGCCGCCGCCTCACAGCTTCTGGTCGGAGCTCCTCAAGCACCTGTACAGCTTGCAGAACCTGGTGCCACAGGGCCGGCGTCCTGCTGCCACTATAGAATGACGCGCCCGGGGCTGAGAGTGGATATATTCCCACTGATATCTTGCACAATACTGTGATATACAAAGAGTACCACCGGATGGGCATTATTAGCTGTAGAGAAGTACCCGATTATTATTATCCTGTCTCCCGCTGCCCAAATCTGGGCAAACAACGTTTAAATGACATTGATTTACTGTTAATGCTATGTTGATTTTACGGTGATCCACTATGGATTAAGCGTTACTTGGACATGTATGTGTTGTTCGAGAGAGGGCGGCGTATATACAGTTATTGGCCCGCTCTCGTTAACCCTTACACTGCGCCAGCCGCTATTTGCAGTAATCTGTGCGCAGATCGGAACGCTCGTGGGTATCACAGCGCTCGGAGTCGGCTGTGATGCCGACGTAATTGTCAATGGATTAAACCAACATTTAGTACAAATAAAGTGCATGAGGACACCCTGGCTCCCTCTCAGCTGCATGAGGACACCCTGGCTCCCTCTCAGCTGCATGAGGACACCCTGGCTCCCTCTCAGCTGTGCGAGGACACCCTGGCTGCCTCTCAGTTGTGCGAGGACACCCTGGCTGCCTCTCAGCTGTGTGAGGACACCCTGGCTCCCTCTCAACTGTGCGAGGACACCCTGGCTGCCTCTCAACTGTGCGAGGACACCCTGGCTCCCTCTCAGCTGTGCGAGGACACCCTGGCTCCCTCTCAGCTGTGCGAGGACACCCTGGCTCCCTCTCAACTGTGCGAAGACACCCTGGCTCCCTCTCAGCTGTGTGAGGACACCCTGGCTGCCTCTCAGCTGTGTGAGGACACCCTGGCTGCCTCTCAGCTGTGTGAGGACACCCTGGCTGCCTCTCAGCTGCACGAGGACACCCTGGCTGCCTCTCAGCTGCACGAGGACACCCTGGCTGCCTCTCAGCTGCAAGAGGACACCCTGGCTGCCTCTCAGCTGCAAGAGGACACCCTGGCTGCCTCTCAGCTGCAAGAGGACACCCTGGCTGCCTCTCAGCTGCACGAAGACACCCTGGCTGCCTCTCAGCTGCACGAGGACACCCTGGCTGCCTCTCAGCTGTGCGAGGACACCCTGGCTGCCTCTCAGCTGTGCGAGGACACCCTGGCTGCCTCTCAGCTGTGCGAGGACACCCTGGCTGCCTCTCAGCTGTGCGAGGACACCCTGGCTGCCTCTCAGCTGTGCGAGGACACCCTGGCTGCCTCTCAGCTGTGCGAGGACACCCTGGCTGCCTCTCAGCTGTGTGAGGACACCCTGGCTGCCTCTCAGCTGTGCGAGGACACCCTGGCTGCCTCACAACTGTGCGAGGACACCCTGGCTGCCTCTCAGCTGTGTGAGGACAACTTGACACACTCAGCTGCGTGAAGAAGAAAAGTCGTCTTTTACATAGTTCCCCTTTGTTAGTGCAATATTAATTAGCATTGGACCTCCTGCAGGAATAATGAGACATATAGTTAATTAGTTGTTAGTTCACACTGTACATACGTAGTAGTTATTATGAGAACCACACTTCAGTGTCAAGCAGAGTGGTTTTAAATGTAGCAAAGCATCACTCAAATGAAAGGAAAATAAAAAAAATATATAAAAATAAGTTATCAGCTTGGGATGTGTTAGGGTGAAGATGTCTATATAGATTAAATTTATGGTATAAAATGAGACATTATCATGTTTCACCGAGCAGCAGCAACCATTGGCGTACTCGACGATCACCAGCAGCAGCAGCAACCATTGGCGTACTCGACGATCACCAGCAGCAGCAGCAACCATTGGCGTACTCGACGATCACCAGCAGCAGCAGCAACCATTGGCGTACTCGACGATCACCAGCAGCAGCAGCAACCATTGGCGTACTCGACGATCACCAGCAGCAGCAGCAACCATTGGCGTACTCGACGATCACCAGCAGCAGCAGCAACCATTGGCGTACTCGACGATCACCGAGCAGCAGCAACCATTGGTGTACTCGACGATCACCAGCAGCAGCAGCAACCATTGGTGTACTCGACGATCACCAGCAGCAGCAGCAACCATTGGTGTACTCGACGATCACCAGCAGCAACCATTGGCGTACTCGACGATCACCAGCAGCAGCAGCAACCATTGGTGTACTCGGCGATCACCAGCAGCAGCAGCAACCATTGGTGTACTCGACGATCACCAGCAGCAGCAGCAACCATTGGTGTACTCGACGATCACCAGCAGCAGCAACCATTGGCGTACTCGACGATCACCAGCAGCAGCAACCATTGGCGTACTCGACGATCACCAGCAGCAGCAACCATTGGCGTACTCGACAATCACCAGCAGCAGCAACCATTGGCGTACTCGACGATCACTGTTAGAATCTACGCGAATGCAGAGTGGGACGTACACGTAAAGTTGTAATTCGGAGAGTTCCGGTAACACTAAGTGAGTAAGATTAAGGTGGGGTAGGCGAAGATGACTTAAATTTATTCATTTAATAAGCGATTAGTGAGGATCGTCTGAGTGACCTGTGATGATAAACACCAGACAATCAGATCACGTCTCTCCAACATCCGCGGGGTCTCTCAAACACCCTACTGATGTATTGACGCCAAAAGAACTCCTTAAATGTATTTCGTAGTAACAGTTACATCGTGCACTGTATTACAAGTACATCATGCACTGTATCGAATAATCCCTGAATCATTATTTGTACCCAGCATTCTATATATGAACCGAATCACATGTTATAGGGCCTGTGTAAGAGCCACTGTACCCAGCATTGTGTGATATCTGCATGTCACATCCTCTATCTTACAGCCTGTGTGTGTGTGTTATCCTCGGTACCCCAAATGTACAATTTGCCAATACAGTAGTGTGTAAGTTAAACCACGGTGCTGGTATGGTGATACTGATACTGTGTATACTTCTTCGATACGAGTGTAAAGTAATCCTACTGTGTGACCTACTAGGGGTATGCTTGTCAAGTCAGTCCGTCCCCCTAAGGTTCCCAACGTCAAGAAACTGTCATATTAAAGTGCCCTTATCCTAACCTACCAAAGGACCCAAAACAGAAAACGGGACAGCATGTCAGTTTTGCGAGCTGCCGTCATTTTCTGGTACGACAATTTTTGGCCTTAGGTAAAGTATGCGTCAAAATGCGACGTTCTATTATGAGGACGGGTTGGTCAGGCAGGCCTGCTGGGAAGCCGTCCAGGGTACGCGCATCATGTATTGAGACAATGGCGCTGTGTTCACGTGTTACAATCCTCTCAAAGTGATGTGTCTCTAATGAAGAAGGATTTTGATTTAGCCACTGGTGATACAAAGTGATGTCTTTGTTGACCAGTGGTGGGGAAGACATCTTGGACCAGTAGTGTTGGAGGCATCTTGGACCAGTAGTGTTGGAGGCATCTTGGACCAGTAGTGTTGGAAGCATCTTGGACCAGTAGTGTTGGAAGCATCTTGGACCAGTAGTGTTGGAAGCATCTTGGACCAGTAGTGTTGGAAGCATCTTGGACCAGTAGTGTTGGAAGCATCTTGGACCAGTAGTGTTGGAAGCATCTTGGACCAGTAGTGTTGGAAGCATCTTGGACCAGAAGTGTTGGAAGCATCTTGGACCAGTAGTGTTGGAAGCATCTTGGACCAAGGAGTAGAGAGCCTGGTTGCCATGGTCCACGACGGCCAATTCCCCACAGTTACTTGAAACAATTACCTTCAGTACTGGGAACAATTCCCCCCAGTACTGGGAACAATGCTCCTCAGTACTGGGAACATAGCCTCAGAATTGATCAAGGCGCTCTTAAACATCTTACAGCATTTGGTTAATCACATTTATCTGGTAGAATACACGTACGGTCCAGTCAAGACAGCTTAAATGTAAACCACTGTGTGTAAGTTCCAGTAGGCTTCTGCTGTTTCAATACTGATTTTGAATTACAAAGACACTTAAATAAATATATCTTTGCTTGTCTTTGTTTCATTATCCATTCATTACCCTTTCCCATTGTACCATTAACCGTAGGAGTGCCACAGGCCAGCATCCTAGGAACTCTCCTGTTTCTTATATACATCAATGATCTGCCTAATGTCTCTAACATTCTTAAACCTATATTGTTTGCTGATGATACCACCCTCATCTACTCGGACCCCACCCCCTCCCCGCTCAGCTCGTTGTCGCCGTGTGGGGGCTTCGTGGGCGGCTGCCGGAGTGTGATGCTCCTTAGGACAGTCCTCTGTCCTTTTCTAGCCTTGTGCTCCTGCTGCCGTCCTCTCCAATTCTGCTGGGCACCTTTTCCTTTTCCTTCTGTTTCGTTTTTCTCCCCCCTCTTCTCCTATCTGCTTGCCGTTTCCTGCCGACCTTTTGCTCGTTCTGGTTCTTCCCTTGGACTTCTTCTATTTTGACGCCCGGGTGCTTGAGGAGGCATACTCATGCATCCGTAGTACTGTAGTACCCGACGTCGAGAGCGAGGGGAACCTTTTATTGTCAATCCCCACTTCGTCACTGAACCCGATCTCGACGGACTGTCGGTTTCTTAAGGTGGCGTTTGTGGGGCGTATACTCACGACGCACCCCTAGGAGGCCCCGACAAGATCGGCGATAGCTTCTTGTTGGGTGTCCTGCCTCTAATTGTGGCTCCATGGTGGGTGTGGGGGCACATTCGTGAGTGAATTCTTCTTTTCGTCAAGATGATAACCCCTGTTTCGGCTGCTTCTGGCTTACCTTCTCAGGCTCGTGGGGTGGGCGACCAAGCCCCCGAGTCGGTCCGTATTGGAAGACCGGGCTCTGTAGCCTCCGCTGCATTGGGCCCCGACCTTGCTCCTCCTTTGGCCTCTCTGACTCCTTCCCCTGGCTCCCCTCCCTCCTCTGTGGTTGGGTCGAGCCCCAAGCCCCCAGTGGTGACTACCTCATCCCCTGGCGCGGCTCCTTCTCTAGTTGTAGCTACTGCGCCTTTTAACCCCTCTCTCTCTGGGGGTTCTCACCGCCGTCCTCGTCACGGCCGCCCTCGCTCGATTCCTTCCAGTTCTGCTACCTATCAAGCCTTGTTTGGTCCTGCGTCGTGGGCCAAATATTTTGATCTCCTCCCTCTTGATTCTGCGCCTCCTGACGATTTCTCCCTCCATCGACATCTCATTGATTCCGTGGATGCCTCCATTACTTTCAACGCCACTCGTCTCGGTACACGTGTCGTTGCTGCTCCTTCTCAGGATGCTGCTTCCCGCTTGGCTGCCTTATCCTGCCTTGGCGAGACCCCTGTTCGGGTCTCGAAGAACGCTCAGTTGAATGCCAGTGTTGGCACTATTTTGCTCCCGCCCCATGTTGCGACCGGTGTTCGGGACCTGCGCGACTGCCACGACGATATTCGTCATATCCTTGCTGCCCAGGGCCACTCTATTCTCCAGGTGGACACGTTTACTCGTCCCCCTCGTGGTAGTCGCCGTCAACCCCTCCGGATTGTGAAGATTACCTTTGATGGTAGGACCCTTCCACCCTCTGTCATTCTTGCTGGTGCCAGGTGCTCTGTCCAGGAGTACATTCCTTCTCCTCGGCTCTGCAACAAGTGCTGGAGGTTTGGGCATGGTGCCCTCCGCTGCTCCGGGACTGTCTCTCTCTGTCCTTTGTGTGGTGGCGAAGGTCACTCTAAGTCGGAGTGCACTTCTCCCCAGGCTCGTTGCCTCAACTGCGGTGAGGCCCATCCTACCTTCTCCTGTGCGTGTGTCCATTACAAGCTTGAGGCAGCCGTCCTCAACTTGAAGCACCGGGAGCGTTTATCTTTTCCTGAGGCGAGGTGCCAGGTTCGCCGGCTCCCGCCTTATGCTAATATCTCTTATGCTCGCGTGTTGCGCTCTTCCTCTCCTCGTCCTTCCCGCCTTCCTCAGACTCACAACCGTTTCCGGGCCTTGGACCCTGATGCGCCCACTGCCCCCTCCTCTGTTCCTTTGGGTTCTCTCCCGAAGGATCCTCCTCCTGGTCCTCTGTCTGGGGTTCCCCTTCCTTCTACCCGGTCTGTCGTGTCTTCTGTGTCTTCTTCCTCGTCCCCCTCCGATCCTCCTTCCCATCCTCTTCCTCCATCTATCGGCTCTCCCCACCGCCTGTCGGTGCGGGCGGATGTCCATCGCTCTCCTAACGGCCGTCGTGTGTGCTCTCGTTCGGCTTCTCCTGTTGAGACACTGGAATCCGTTGCCCGGTACGTAGTTGCTGGGACACCGGTCTCTTTAAGTCAGAAGCGTAAGCCTGGCTCCTCTCCTTCCTCTTCCCCGGCGGGTAAGAAGGCTTCGCTTTCTTCCTCAGCTCCTCCTTCTGGCTCTGTTGCTCCTTCCCCTCCCGTTTCAGTGCTTGCGCCCCCTGTTCCTGCTATGGAGGTTTCTTTGGCCCCTGCTTCCCTTTCGGTTGCTGCTCTTGCTGGGGTGCGCTCCCCTCTTTCTACTCCCCCTCTTCCTGCTGCTGTCCATGACTGCTCCTCTCCGTTGTCTCCTCCTCTTCCTCCTCCTCCTCCTCCGGACCCTGCCCGCCCACCTCTGATCTGTTCTCCCGTTTCCTTCCCTCCGTCTTTGCTCAGTTTACCCATGCCCCCTAACCCTGACTTTGCTGAC